TCACGGCTCCGTCCGCGGCCCCGCACTTTCTACATGAGAGATGCCGGGTAGATTCAGAATCGGCTCAGTTTCGATGAGATGTTCCAGCTTCCCCAAGTCCTCCTGCGGACGAATCGAGATGTCCACTCATAAACCATCTGCATTTGTGTTTTAAACTAGAATTCCAAAACCTGAAACAAGAATTGGATCCCCAAGCAAATTCATCTATGGGGGGAAACGCTGAAATTAACCCCTGGATTGGTCGCCCTGTCAAGCAGGCAGGTTGACGACTTCACTTGAGTGGTGGTGTTTATTCCCTGTAAAATTTGAATGGTCGTACAGGCCCCTTACGCGAAACCTTCCGCGAAGCTTCCGCTGTGAAGGGTAGGCAAGAACAACCCCAAAAAGAAATCATACCACCATGCGCTGCTCGCATTTCTTTGCGCCTTTTCATGCCGCCAACCAAACCAAACCAAACCAAATCAACCAAACCAAACCGCCAACCAAGGGACAAAACTCGAAGGATTGCAAACAAAATATAAGGCTCCCCATGTTCCCTCAATCTCATGCGTATAGTCAAAATCCTGTCGCTTGAGGAACCGTGGGACTTCTTGTGCTTCCAATTGACCACCTGGCAAACAAACAACCCAACGAACAAATGGACAAACTGAAGAAAAGAAAACAAGCATGCAAGCAAGCAAGCAAGCAAGCAAGCAAGCAAGCAAGCAAGCAAGCAAGCAAGCAAGCAAGCAAGCGAGCGGGCAGGCAGGCAGGCGGGCAAGCAGGCAAGCAGGCAAGCAGGCAAGCAGGCAAGCAGGCAAGCAGGCAAGCAGGCAAGCAAGCAGGCAAGCAGGCAAGCAGGCAAGCAAGCAGGCAAGCAGGCAAGCAAGCCAGCAAGCCAGCAAGCAAAAAATGCCAGCAAGCAAAGCAAGGCAAGCAAAGCAAAGCAAGCAAAGCAAAGCAAGCAAAGAAAGAAAGAAAGGCAAGCAAAGCAAGCAAAGAAAGAAAGGCAAGCAAAGCAAGCAAAGCAAGCCAAAGCAAGCCAAAGCAAGCAAGCAAAGAAAAAAAAGCAAGGAAACAAGCCAGCAAGCCAGCAAGCCAGCAAGCCAGCAAGCAAGCAAGAAAGCAAGAAAGCAAGAAAGCAAGCAAGAAAGCAAGAAAGCAAACAAATCCACAAGCAAGCAAACAAATAAACACACAAACAAACACACAGACAGACAGACAGACAGACAAACACACAAATGAACAAGAAAGCAAGCAACCAAACAAACGCATGAACAAGCCAACAAATGAACAAATGAACAAACAAACAAATCCATAAATACACAAACGCACAAATAAACAGACAAACGAACGAGCAAACAAACAAACAAACAAACAAGCACAGAAATAGACAAACACAAAGAAAGAAGCAAACAAAGCTGCCCCGGGTCGCCTCTCTCTTTCGCCCTTCTGTTTCCCGGGAGAAGATCATCCAGGCATTGATCTCTGAGGCCGTGTAGAACGGCAGGCTCGAGTTCTGGAGGGTCCTCGCGGTTTAAAAAAGCCGCGCGCGATGGTCGAGGAGTAAAACGGGGTAAATAACGCCTGTGCGAAGTGTCGTTATTAGGGAAACCTCCTGGGCAAAAGATGCTGCTTGGTTTGTGTAATTACTTAGAATTTGGTTCCTCCTGCTTGTAAGGATACGCTTATTTCCTTTTTGTAAGGATACAATGACCTATCTTGAACTGCCGCGCTGAAGAAACCCAGACCTTGAAAGAAATGGCGCTCAATCAGTTTTATTGGAAAGGTGGTGTCTGCTGGCAAGCGGCGGCCGGCCGTCGATGTCGGTCAGAAAGGTATCCAGCAGACGGTAGCCGTGCTTCGAGAGCAAGGCCTGTCGCCGCGTTTCGCACGTGCGAAACGGGCGAAACGCCTGCATTGGTGCGGTTTCCCTTTGACTCTGTTCAGCGACAGTGGGGTCGAAATGCCCATGCGGTTGGCTCACAAAAAAAAAATTCTTGGGAAGCGCTGCAAGTTGAACCCTTCCGATCGCTTTCTGGGAAGCCACCATTCCCCTGGCTTTGCTTGGATTTGGGTGTGGGGGGAACCTTTTTTCGGCTTCTTCTAAAGAGAAACACGAGGAAACCAGGAATCTGCGGTCCCATTCTGAGACACAGTGCATGGAATGGCTCCAAATCCAGTACGGATTGAGTCAGGCGAGACGTTCCTTGCTTCTCAGGGAATGAGTTGGAATGACCCCAAGAAAAACCATCCCCGATTTTGTTTAAAGGGTATATCCAGGGTCATTCCCAACACCCGGAAGGTCATTCCCTACCCATCGCACGACCAAGTTGTAGTTTTTCGGCCCTGAGAGTAGCCCGAACTTGAAAGAGTGTGAACCCACATGCCATGGCGGGCCTTCCAAAATGGGACCAGGCCCACGATTTTGGTGCCCCAGCCATCGGGGGGGGTCTCGTTTGTGGGTCGGGGGCGGGAGGGAGGGAGGGAGCGAGGGAGCGAGGGAGCGAGGGAGCGAGGGAGCGAAGGGGGGGTTCTTTAAAAGGGAAATCGAAATGAAACCATGCCCTTGCTGAGGTTGGTTTGGACGAAATCCAAAGCAAACCCCCCATTTCACGAGCTTTCCAACATTTGAGTCACACTCAAACTCTGCAAAGTCTCCCCCCCAAAAAAATGCAAGAAAGCAACGGCACCTCTCGACCTTCGCTGACCCGGATCTTGACCGTGGCTCATTGGGCCAAAACCCCCCCAACCCCCCCCGGCCTGTATCTTCCTAGCCGGGCCGTGCTCGCAGGACCAGGTCCAAGACCTCCGCAGCTTGACAAAAGGAGACTTGGCCTCACCCATAGTGGCTTGTCTTGCTTTGATGGTACCCCCATTTGGTTGGTTTTGAGGGGAAACCAAAGGAAACACCCGTCTTGGCGGGGTCCCCCCAAAAAAAGACACTCCCCATATGCTCCCCTCTAGTATTTCCAGATCAACTTGTGGCAGCCGTGCTGCAAAATGATTTGGAAAGCTTAGCTTTTGTTTGACCCGCAAACACTCGAAAGAAAAGACGAACACAAGCTCGCGACATGCGGGTCCCGCACACGAGGAGTAGCGCAAACTTCGCCTTGCGCGAAACCCTTCAAAAGAGTTTCTGCACGGAGGGCCGCGATCTGATCCAAGCTGCTGATAAGGTCGATCCAGGCGAGATAAGAACTTGCATCTGAATTGTGCGGACTGGACGGCCAGCACATCGATCCGGTACTCCTGGGTCCAAGGACTCATGGCCTAAAGCTTGGGTCATATTTTGGTTGGAAACATCAAAAGGGGGGGGTGAATGCCATGAAACCCCTGCGGAACCAAGCCATGCCCAAATCTACCATGCCACAACTCTTCTCCAACTTTCCGAGCTCCAAGCTATCTCCCCCCCCCCCGGCACTTGTCGCTCCATTGGCCACCTGTTAAACCTCGAAACACCAGTTGCTTCAACATGGTGCAGGTGTTTGCTCTTTAATGCGCCCTTGATGGTTGCGGCTCGTTTTGAGATTTCCTCAGAGTCGTTTTCCATCGGCTGGGGAAAAATCGGAAGCGGAAAAAAATAATCTCCATGGCCCGCCCTTAGGCGAGCTCCTTGAAGAGAGTCTTCCAACACTTCCCTGAATTTCCAAGAAGACCCATCTGGACTTAAGCCAACCGGCGACAAGATCTGGGCTGCGCGAGCCCTCCTTTTTTTGGTGGGTATTTCCCTTTTGGGAAGTCCAAAGGCAATTGGTCTGCTCCAATGGTCCAATGCTACCTTTCCTTGGACCCTTCGGACTTCGGACGGGCGAGGGGTTGGCTCCTTGAAGGGAAAGCTTTGGAGCACCTCGAGCTCTGCGAAAGCCGCCAGCACCAGGAGCTTCAGATGCCGCAGCTGGGCCTCGCCACCCAAACGGGTGGGAAGGGGCCCGGAAGCGGGTGGCGTTTCGCGTGGAGATGGTGCTCAGACAAAACCATGGAGGGAAGCCGGGTGCATGCCTAGGGTGCACGCTCCAGACATAGGCACACCAGCCTGCCTGAGGCCACTTTCAAACCTAACAAATTGACTCTGGGGCTCCCTGCCAAGTCGAGCAGTTGTTCTGACTCAAGCGAAGTGGGAACCTTCAAAGCCCTCGAAAATAAATCCAAGCCAGAAAAGTCGCACCTGTCATCGAGGCAGAACACACCCAAACTTCCGACAGGACGGGTCCGCTCGCCTTATCGAGCACCTCCTGCAGCAGGTGGCACTTCACCTCAATGCAACATGTCGAAAGTATCACAAAGCGCGGTTTTTGGGCAGCCTTTGGTTTTGTTGTGCGGATGTTGCATCAAACCAAAGGGGCCCATGTCCAAGGAGAATCCTCCAAAATAAAGCGGATGAGGGATGCTCGGGTTCCATGTGCGGAGTAGTTGGCTCTTTCAACTGTCCACATGAGCCCCACAAAAGGGACATCCGCCAAAGAAGCAACCCCGCAAAAAGTGGGTGATCTCTCTGGCTGTTCCTCTGAACCCTCCCTTTTCCCCTCCCCCACCCCGGCCAAAAAACAAACCTGCAACAAGTGCGAGGTACCCTCCAAAGGAAAACCAACACCACCGCCACCAAACCACCCCCCGCCTCGGACACCACGGCGGTACCCGCCAGGCGGAACCCGCTCTTCAGCTGCCTACGAATCGAGGCCACCTGAGGCCTACACTCAAAGGGCGCCCGAGAGGGTCGAAAAGGAAAACACTGGTCTACTAGGTTCGAATAAGGGTCCCCCTTTTTTTCCGTAGTCTAGTTTAGTAGGGGAACCCTCCCCCAAAAAAGAGTAAAAGGGCTCCACTGGGGGACCTAGTCTAAGAAGCTACGCCAAATCACCAACCCCTGGGTTTTTGGAACCTGCAATTCCAACAGAGCCACCATCAAAATGTTTGCCACCTGTCGCTCCTGGAGCCGGGGATGGTGATCGACCCAACCAAAACCTGACGCGCAGACCCCTTCGCAGAGCAGTGGGGAAATCGAGGAAAGCGTGGATGGAGGCTGTGCAAAAACCACAGTAAATATGTGTTGATCAATCTGTGCGTAGCATCCTAGAACCCACTCGATTCATTTGTGAGAACGCATTCTACGCGTTTCGGGGTCACATTGGTATATCCTCCGACCAGTAACCAGCAGAGTGGAATGTCCTGCACCAATCGCCCGACCAGACCCGGGCGCCATGAGTGGAATGTGAAAAGGGGGGGGGGGGGTGGGGCGGGCCGGATCCCTGTTTTGCAACCACACTTTGGGAGTTGCAAAGTCAGCATGTGGTTTGCAACGACTTTGGACTTTTGTCACCCACTGTTCTCTCTGGAGGGGCAAGATCATTTTGACCGGCGGACCTTTCTGCCCTTCACCTAGCAGCGACTTTCTTTGAGAGAGCATGAGACCACACAACAAGTGTCCCAACCGCAAGATCAACCCCCCAATCCGCCTTTGAACGTTTTGCACAATTGGTGCGTACAGTTTTCCTTGAGAAAGGACTGGTTGCGGGAGAATCTCAATCTCAACATTGGGGCTGATGCCATAGGCCCCAAGCAACCGATTCGGGAGCGGAATCGCCTAGGTATCTGCTGAAGGTACCCTTTTGTATAGTCATAACCTCCCGCCTCCGACCGCTTGCCTACACCTCCCTGCACTGAAATCGCCCTTGGCTCCGAAAGACCCTGCTAGGGTCTATTTTGCAACCATCTTGCTTGAGGGCATAGACCACCATTTTGGGGGGCCCGCTTGCAAAGCACATCCAGTTTTTTCTACACCAGCATGAAAGTAGATGGCACAATTCTCTTTACGTCTTTATTTGGGCAGGGAAAGGGGATGACTACGCTTAAATAATCGCAAGCTACACCCGAACACCCCCAAAGGACCCACACCCCTGAAGCCGCAGTAATCATAAAGGGACAACCAGCGTGAAGCCAAGCTGTTAGGGCTCCATGAGACAAACCGAGCTAAACTGCAGATTGCCCAGCGAAACCGCCGACCGGGGCCTGACCAGCTCAGGGCTCATGGCGTCCTCGAAGCCTCCATACCCGCCCCCCACGGCCAGGAACTGCCGAAGTCCCGCCTGTCAAGCAGCTTGGGTTGGGAGGTTTGGCTTGGGAGGGGTGGGTAACATAGGTGTCCTTTTTGGAAAATAGATGGCCCTGGTAGACGATTGAACCACCAGGTAAACCAGGGCCTTTTTTTTAAACCAAACCAACCACAAAGGACACCTATGGTGGGGAAGCGCACCTAGTGGCCCCGAATGCTGTGGGAGGTTGCAATGTTGGTCTCCTTTCCAGTGCTTTGACGAAGCACCTCAACCAGCAATGCAACACATCACAAATGAGATTCCGGTATCACAAACATCTGGGGACGTCGTGGATGCCTTTCTTTGATAAAGTGGGCCCGGGCCATCCCAATCAGCATCACAAGTGGCCCTACCCACCCACCCCTTCCTAAGCAGCCCTTGACCAGGGTTCTACTAAGGGAATCAAGCCGTCTTTGTACACCACCCACTGGGTTTCGGTCGAATTAGAAGCAACCCAATAGAACCATGCCCTCGACCCCCTTCCTTGGGAAACAAGGGTTCTTCCCTTGAAACCCAACAAGAGTTGCTGTCCATTTAAAACCATCCAACACGGGTTTTTCTTCCCTTTCTTTAGAGCCAACACTTCGGCTTGTTCCCTTCCAAACCAGAGGCCTTTTTCCCCCCTTCACCATCCAACAAACATGTCCCCCTGAACAAAATGGACACCAAACCCCATCCAACAAAAACATCCCCCTTAAAAACTGGACACCAAAAATGCCCCCCTTATCAAAATGGACACCAAACCCGGCAGACCAAACCATTTTGCCGCTCCCCGGCACAGCCTTCCCGCCTTCCCGCACACCGCGCCGTCCACCGCCGCGCTGCCGTCGCTCGGCCTCGCCTGCGGAGCCACTCGCACACCCCGCCAGCCCAGCTCCTGCCGCATTCAGCCGGCCCATGTTGGAGTTGGCACCGCCTTTTTTCCGTGGCTTTAACGGGAAACCCAAAGGACCGAAATCAAGTCATTTTGAGGGGTCCCGAAAAAGAAATTGAATTATTCACCCATGTGGGAAACGCGCAGATCGGTCAATGTTCAACTGTCCAGCACCTTACAACTTTTCTCGACGTACCAACTCCAAAAAAGCACACACCCAACCGTATGTGCAAGTAAGTAAAACATTTTAGGGGAATGTCGACAGGCCTTTCGAGCATGTGACGTTTGGCAACATCCCAGAACTCCTGCGTGTGATTGCAAAACCCCTTTGCACCGTTTGCGAATAAAGGATCGACCAGCATTTGAAGGATCACCGCATCATGTCCCTGCATCAATAGCATCATGTGCATCACCAGCATCATGTGCATCACCAGCGATGCTGGTACTTGCATCGCCCCCTGTATCCATATGCATTGCAAGCATCACCTGCATGACGTGCATTGCATCAGCGGCATCAATCCCACCTCTCACCCCTGAGGCCAGACAAGCTTGGGGCAAATCAGCATCGCACATGGCCCAGAAAAAGCAGGCTAGGATAACCACATTCTGGACCTTTCGCAAGTACATCTTCTTCCAAATTGTCAAAGTCATCTGGATGCATGACCTCTTCATCGTTAAGACAGACATGTGCCAAAGAAGTCAATGTCATTGTGGTCATTGTTTTCATGATAGCGTTGTTGATATTTTGTCATGACTACCTTTTGCATGTTTGAATCAAATATTGCTTTCCAAGCTCCAGCATGTTTGCCCTGATGTTGCCCTTGTCTATTCGCTGAATTCTCTTCAAAAACATGTAACCCGTTGACCAGGCTCAACTTGAGCAGTAGAACTTGGGGATTCGGACCTGGCAAAGAGGAAACCCGAACACCTCCTTTTCCCCAAAGGTGAAACCGTTCCTAACAAAGGACCGACGTTTGTTAGTTCCACGTCACTACGCAGGAAAAATAACCCCCCAATTCCTGGAAACCATGGATGTGTTTGTTTCAGATTCCCCTTTTGCCCGCCTCATTCATCCCAAACAAACGAGAAAAAAAGCGGGATTCGCGCTGATATCCGGTCCATCCATTGTCATATATATATATACACACGCGTATGTGTTTAATATAAGCTTTGCTCTAGGGCCCTGTCACAAGTCGTTGGTTCCCCGGTCCTTCTCAAAGAACTCAGTGACTCGCGGATGTGATCCGTCCACGGCGACTTCCAGGAAGATGTGTGCGCTGCTGCGCTCGCGACCGACGTGGCGTTGGAAGAAGAACTGCGCGATGGCCAGGTCCTCGAAAGGCGAAAAAACCTGCGGGGAATTGGGGAATTGGAGGAGAATCAGCTTCCCGCAAAGAGGGTTTGTTTGGATGGGTGAGGTTGAGAATGTGGTGTCCCATTTGCCAGCAGTTCAAGTCCCAAATTCAATCCAGCAAGGGGTTCTCTGAAATCTAGCAGTGCCCTGCAGTGGCTTTCCGAGTAGCAAACCAACTCTGGAACTATCCATCCAAAGCACCATGATCACGGCTGGGAATCCAGAAGAGTGGGGGAATTCATTCATGGCCATGGGTCAAAATCCCGTACTCTCAGTGCCCAACCAAAATAGACTAAAATGGGTGGTGAAATGGTACCATTGGTTTGGACCCACAGCCTCAGAGAACTTCGACGCGCAAGGGAAGCCAGACCTCTCAAAGGGAAGCCCCGACCTTCCGAAGCCGCTTACATAGCGCCAGCCTGATGCTTCGAGGGATTCGCTGGCCTCTTTCCAAGTTTGGGCATATCTCACCAAGGCTCTAGGATATCAGCTAGCCTTAGTGGGCACTGCCCACGACTAGACGGCGCCATTTCGCGCGAGCCCACCCCTTCGACGTGACAGGTCGCGATCCCGTTTTGTGCTGCGTGCCGCTGCTGAAGGCCTTCATCGACTTCATTCTGAAGATCGAGAAAGGCATCTTCATCGCCTACAAGCACACCATTCTTGGCCCTCTGTTTCTATGTCCTGGCGTTGTTCGGCTTGTGCTCGCATCAACCGGGCCTCCAACAACTTCTGTGCCGGATGTGGTGGTCAAACCGGCACACCCGTGACTCAGGGCAAGCCAAGGTCTCAGAGCCGGAGGCAGAATCGCCCCAAATCTCCTCGCAGACGTTCTGGACAATGGGATCGGTGGGAATCGGATGGACATGGGTATGCTGCTGGTTGGGCTGCGCACACCTACCAGCATCGGCAGCCACCTCCACCACCTTGGGCTGGAGGACATCACGAACCCATCGAGGCGCCCGCGAAGGGCGCCAAGGGAGGAGGCAAGGGCAAGCCAGCGCAGCTGCCTGCCTTCCCGCCTGCTTGGCCTTCGTCTTCCTTGCCTTCCTCTGGCACTGGGACGAAGGACCATCTGCAGGTCCTGCTGCAGGAGGTCCGCAAGCTTCCCGAAGCTCAGATATCGGATTCCCTTCGCAAAGCACTACGCGAGGCCGACGATCGGTCGGCTTAGGGGCTTCAGATGAGGGCCAGCGAGCTTGGTGCTGCCAAACGGCATATGGAATCTGTTCAGGAATCGCAAAGTGCACGATTGAATGCGTGGGAGAAGTACCTGGACGAGGCCATCAGCTCATGGGAATCCCACCTCACGCAGTTCAACAACGAGCAAGACGAGTTTGCCGTGATCTTGGAGAAGGCCGAGGCGCGGGTGCTGGCGGCCAAGAAGGCGGTTCAGGAGGCGTCTGCCGACATCGCTGCCCTGGGTGTTTCCGAGCAGACTACGGCAACCCTAGCCGACATGGACATCGAGTTGATTCCGGATGGGGATGCGCAGGCCCCGCCGACACTGGCCATGTCTGCATTCCGCTCTCGTGCTTCCACCGCTCAGCGCCGCATGGCGGACCTGATCACCAAGATCAAGGACAAGGCCGACGACCACAAGCCTCGGGAAGATCGCGAATCAGTCCACGGCCTCGCAGTGTGACTCCGGCTCCGAATCCCGACAAGCCTCCAGGAGACACTCGCGATGTCGCCAAGGCAGCTGGAGACAATCAGCCTTTTGGCTGAGCTGTGTGCGGCTTCCTGCTTTTGCAGCGGCGCCTTCGAGCCCTGAAGGTATCGTAGGTGTCGACTGCGCACAGCGTTTGGTCGGCCTTGGTGGCCATGAAGCTTTGCTAATTCAATGGCAGCATTCTGTCGTATGGGAAGATGACTTTTGCTGCGCTCAAAGGGCTCGATCTCGCGCACTCGCCCTGCAATTTGAAGTTTCACAAAACCTTTCACTAGATGGCACACATGCTACTGCCCTTTCTGCCTGTGGGGCTCGGACAGCCGCAGGCTATAAGTCGTTCCGACATGTTAGGCTTGATTTGCCCCAAGATGGCGCCAAGTTGAGGGACCGGACAATTGTAGGGCACATCTTGTTCCGGATCCTTTCGTTAGGGCAAATGCCCCTGTTTCTCCCGGATTGCATGGCCTTGGGCCGCATTCGGTGGCCGCCCCCGCACCTAGCCATGGAGTGCCTGCACGCTGCCTTCGTGGAGACCAGAGCACCGTGAACGACATTTCTGATGCACCTCATGCTTTTCAAGCCGGAAAAGATGTACCTGCTTTTGGAAATGCTGAAGGGATCACTTCCTCTTCACTTTCAACCGGAGCATTTGCGGCTGGCACTTCGCATCCTGCCGGGGCTGCACCTGCTGGGGATCTCTTCGGGGTCAATTCATTTCGCCTTAAATGCCAGCTGCCTCGCACGATTGACCTTCCTCGTGCAGCTGCTGCTGATCCGGCAGCTTTCGCTGAGGTGTCCAACCGTGGCACAAAGGTACCTTGTGTTCGGGATCCCCATGTTTGCCTGGAAAGTAGCCTAGGTAGGATTGCCAGAGCAAGTTTTAGCAACAGTTCACAGCAGACAGGCTCTGAGCCCTGCTGTGATAGCGACACGCGCAGCCATGGCATCCGAACGTCTTCACTAAGTCAGATCGATGCCTACACCGATGAAATGGTCACGGTTTGCCTTCACAGGGCGGACTACAATGAGAAGATGCTGCAGCTGAAACAGGCTGCGACCGGGGACCGCGCGCTGCGCTGCCATGCCTGGCTTGCCTGGAAAGAGACGCCAAGATTGGTACCATTCACACTTGCCCCGGTCTGGCGGCCCAAGTCAAGTGAGCAGATTGAGAAGCACTATGTCATGGTAACCCCAGCTGACATCCGCAAAGGTCTTTTTAGGACCGTGGTGGTTCTGTGCCTACAGTGGCAGCCGCATGAAGGTGGAGTCGTGCTCACCTCAAGGCAGGCCAAGAGAGTCACGTGCGTCGCCAACAGAAACAGCATCATCGACTTGCTCAACGTGCCCAGCGAGTGTGAAATCACCCACAACGGCACAACCGTCGGTCACGGGCGCAACTGCCAGCTTGGCGACGGTCACCTCCTGGAAATCTGCATGCCCAAGATCAACCATGACTTGAGTGAACGACGGTCAGCGCAGAGTGCTGTCGGCAATAGCCCGGACAGCGCTAAAAGAGAGATTCGTGAAATTGCTTCAGGACATACGGGGCCGGCAATGAGCGGCACGGAATCTCAACCAGTTGTTGGTGAACGTTTGCCCCCCCCTTCAACGTGCGCGCACGCACACTGGATTGACACTGTTGAGCTTGCCAAAGGTGAATGCGCCGCTTATGAAACTGGCCTGTCCAGCTATGAGATGATCCATAAAACGCTGGGAATCGGCCTGAACCGCTTAGACAGCTCCCTGCTTCAGGTTGATTCTGCGCCGGAGGTAGTCCAACTTGCATTAAGCATGACTCCCTGTTGGCGTGGTGAAGCCTTGCGGAAGTTGATCTTTTACACGGATGGATCATACAAAGAAGTCGATGGCCAGAAGCAGTCGGCTTGGGGCGTTGTTGTCATTGGAGAGTTTCGCAGACGACAGGCAAGGAACCTGCATTGCGTTGTGGGGTTTTTGTCCGCCAAAGGCTGTCCAATCGACGAACAAGCGCACTTTGAATGCAACGCCTATACAGCAGAGATCACTGCCTTGGCTCAGGCATGTCGGATTGGACTAAGCCAGGAGCTGACAAGTGAGATCGAGATATGTTTTGACAGTATCTCTGCAGCGACCGTCTGTAGTGGGCAGGCGTTTGCAAGAGCAAGCAGAGAACTCGCATGCAAAGCACGGATGCTGTATCAGGCGTTGCAAACCCGATCGAAGGTCGTTTTTTCCCACACAAAGAGCCACGTAGGTCACCCGTGGAACGAATGTGCAGATTACCTTGCCAAGAAGGCCGGATGCGAAACTAGAAATGAATTTGACACTTGGCATGGACTTGAGCATGTGTGGCTTGTCATGCAAGATGGTAGGTTGGACCTGCCTGAATGCTCAGACGGGACCTACAATGTGACAGCACGTAGCTCTCTTGATGCGGATACTTGGAAAGGACAGAAGAACCCTGGCAGCGCAGTGGACTGTGCTGCAGTTGTGTCCTTCCGCGCCGTGACATACAACGCGCTCACTCTCAGGAAGGCAGGCAGAATGCATGCCATTCAACAACAGTTTGAGGCAAAGAAAGTGTGTGTCATCGGCGTCCAGGAGGGCCGCAGCAAGGAGAGCTTGTTCTGCAATCATGGGGACTTT